GATGACTAATAAACTCACAGAGAATTCTAAAAGCTCACTTCACATCGAAGTATGCGCTGAAGATGTTGCTCAGTAGAGCAATGAAAGCTTCGCAACCAAATCATCCAGCTCAGAGAACACAACCACACCAAAAAGAAAAAACAAGCGTATCGTAGAATTACTTTCTGAAGCAAACTGACTGCTACTTAATACCAAATTGCTCAAGTTTATATGAACAATCAACGATGTGAAGTAACACAGAATTCGTGTTATGCATCCTTATTGTTATTATTATCACATAACAAGAAGAAGGACTAACATCAGTGAAGAAGCAGGTTCGTATTTAGATGGCGAATAGCAGTCAGATAATGTGAAAGCTATGAATTGACACAATACTCAGTCATAAAAATAACTAACAACAACAATGTTTACAGATAAAAGTTGAAAAGAGACAACAATGTGTGCTTCACAAGAGTAATAATCAATCACTGGATGCTTATTTTCTGGCACTTTTTCCAACTACAGACCAGAATTGTACTAGAATACTGTTTCAACCCAAGTAATAGATAAATGACCGAATGAGACCATCAGTGTGACTGAAAAGACCATAATTGTTACTGAAGCTTGTATGTAGTATGGTTACAGCTTTGTGGGGCAATGTGTTTACTGTTAGTATCGTCAGTCGTCGGTCAATCAACGCGAAGACGAATTGCAACGAATACTAAGAGATATTTGTGACTTCATAAGCTATCCAGGCATCTGTCTGTCTATAACACGCTCAGTAATCTTTGAAGTGTAGTTACCAGACATTTGATTCACTGAGGACATCAGGTAGACATCTTCAGTTTCTTCAAAATAATGAAGAAATAAGCCTGTTCAAGCCTCTTGATGTTCGTAGAGGCCGTCGCTATAAAACTGCTCGAGTTTGACTCATGTAAAAAGTCTTCCACACTGCCTTGGTGATTCGGTTTAATTGATTATCTTTTAATAAATGGAAATGTTGATTTATTTCCACTTCTACTTAGTTACATTACTATTTATTAAACGTAAAGTTTCGGATGTCAGATATCCAACTACATGAGATGAACTCACACACATTACTTTCTTCAGATTTCATTTATTTACTAACAATTTTTCTATTGACTTACATAATCCCGTAATTTATGTGTCACAGTATCCTGCTGCTACCCTTGTCTCTCTCTCACCCACCCGCCCACCTCCAAACACACTTTTTGTTTCTTTCTCGAGAAACTTCGATCGGAATCCATGTATAAGCTCATTCGTATTTTTTCTAAATTTTACCAATTTTACCTTTCGACTTATCTGGATAACACGATCATCGTTATAATTACTGCTCGGCATTTTATCCCGGATGAGCTAAAACGCATCCCACCACTTTATTCGACGCAGCTTCACACGTTCATCAGTTGACTTTACATGCTTACCATGACACTTAACAATTAGAAACTCTTCGAGCTCAAATGACAATTTTATATATGTAAATATTTGTCTTGCTGTGTTTATACAAATATAACCATTCATAAAATACGCAAATCATATATAAGGAGATATTTGTAAAAGAATATGTGACAAAGACACTGACCACCAATCCTAGAACAGAGAATGATGATGGTGATTATTGAAAAAAATCTAGTCTATCAAAGTGTCAAGTATTATTTAAGAATTCTTTTCTCTGTACGAAATCAGTAACTTCAAACAGTTGGTTCATTTAATCATGACAACTGTAAAACTACCTCATTTTATACTCACATCCGATGATAGGAGGACTACACGTTGAGTCTGAAAAAATGCCTACCAATAATGGCTGGATTCAACATAGAACTTGGCACCGAAGTGCAGCAATTCGAGTTGCCACATTCCAAATAGCACACAAAGGTAGACAAGAAGATGAGTGAAGAGAATCAATAGAGTTTTGACAAGTATAAGAGTGAAACAGAATGATTAATGATAGAAAGGAATATGAAAAATTACAGAGACTGAATACATCTGCGCCACTGACAACGATTTTGAGCCATGTCACCTATTGTCTCCAGCCATTGATTCTTAGAGTCCAGAGGGCCCCAACCCGGAAGTCTGCATCTCCCTACCTGACTCAGTTTAACTGTCAAGGATTTCATGGATTGACGAGGCCATGTTTTTGTTTGGCCACCACTTACTCTTTTCCAACTTGCACCTATATCAGCTAGTAATGCCCGTCGGGGGGGGGGGGGGCGATGGTTAGGCATGCGCAGGACGTGACCTAGCCATCTCAATCTATGTAACTTAATAGCCTCTTTGATTGATTTTCCCTCTTTGCCCAACACTCTACGCCTAACGTCAACATTACTAACCTTACCAATAATATCACCTGAAATATACAACTTCTCAGACGATATATTTAATCTACTTAGAAGATATATATGATTGTAAGTGCTTATTATAGACGTGTGACGTATGTACTACTCACAAGTTGATTGATATAAGTAGTTGAAAACCATTCATGTCAAACTTTGCTGTTTGCTAACCAGATCGATAATATGGTGAAAACACCAGACGCTTGTTTCTGGCAGACCTCAACTACTGCATGATCGATTCGGCTCATCTTAAAGAACCGAACAAGTTTAGCAGATTCCTGCATCCTCCAATAAGACCCAATAGAGATTACTTGTAAATTGTACTGAATGACCAAAGGTGCACTTACTCCCCTGAGAAGTAAATACATCTCTGTGACTAAAAACTCAAACAAGCAAAATTAATCGTATTATTGTAGGCTCGATAAATTCTTGTCAAGCTATGTGATCATTTCACTTCACAGAATTAACGAGTCAATTAAAACTATTGGTGATTAAACCATCTCTGACAGAATCAGGTAGTAGCCAGAATTTGAGTAGTTTGAACTGATTTGGCTCTAAGAACTGGGTCAAATCTGGTACACAGTTGACAAGCTAGATGTCAAACGATCGAAACCGTCATCTAGTCGTTTAGATCACTCCAATTGCCTTGAGTGATGTTCAACTAATTATGCCAGTCAATGAGCAGTATGCACTATCACATGCAAGTTCATCTCCGGCATTATAATTTTTAAAGTCTGTAACACCAAAAACACTTAGACCTCCTCCTTTTTTCCCGTTATCATGAGACAGTTTTACCAATCACAATTTGTTAGCAACAGAGAAGAGATGGTGCGTCGGTGGCACAACGGTTAGGACTCTCGCCGACCATGCACATGGTCCGGGGTTTGATCCCCAGCCGACGCACACCCGATATCAATGGTCAGCCTGCTAAATTTGGGCTATCGATATCACATGCTGAAAATTCTATACTTGTATCAAAACTACGGTGTGGAATCAAGCTATAATCAAAAATAAATAAATAAATAAAAACTAGAAACCTGGGTGATTATTGTCTTCTTGGTTATTTTCAACCTCTTACTTCAGCCTAAACCGAAAAGTTCTGTGTCGGAAGGAAATGATTTAGCCGATAACTCAAGGCTTCAGTTGACCTGAAACTTGAAGAATTCGATAGTAATACTCTGTATTACCAAATTCGGTAATATCACGTTACAGACATGACAACACTACAAAAGTGATGTATATTTGTTGCCTATTTAATAATCATCTGTAGTCTCTTTAACTGTTCAACTCTAACATTTTGAATACATTATTCAGATAACGTACACTAGCTATCCAAAGCAACGATGACTTTTCTGTTGGTGTTATAATTGTTGTTTCCAAAACCTCAACAACCTACTTTTCCTGGGAAAAAGAAAGAAAGCTCACTAGGATAGTTGATAAATTTAGGTGTTTCAAACACACCTAGATAAACAAACCTATTTCTACACGTTGAGAAAATCAGTAGTCATCCAACCTTACTTAATTCTGCTGTTTCAACTTAGATACCTTTTAGTATAGCATTTAGAAGAAACAAACAGGTGTCTCTAAGATTTCTACCACTCAAATTAAACGTTCACATATTACGGTGTTAAGATAGCAGAGAATGAAGTGTTTCGCGTTGGGCGTCTTCCCTCACAGACATCTACCAGGTTCCCCGAGTACAAGAAACAGGAGATAGTTTCACAAGTGAAAAAAGATATGCCTGTAATAAAACCGGCTGCGCATTCCCCCTCCCTTCTGTGCCACACACACACACACACACACACAGACAAACACACGGGCACACCTGAGAAAAGAACAAAAACACTAAGTCATAAAAACTCTCAATTATGAAAATGAAAAATAAAACGTATCAATAAAAGAATGCGAAAACAATCCAATAGAAATTAGTACAGGTGTATAAGGGAGCTTGTATAACTGTTTTAAAGTATATATATTATATATTATATATATATATATACATGTATGTGTATATAGTGTCGCATTATATAACAATGGTGTACACTGGACCGATAAACAAAATAAAATGAGGAAAATTACATATTTATATATATATATTCAGCTGGTTACCTTCCTTGCCTTATCAACTATCAAAATTCCTAACACTGCGAATAGGTGAATGAAAGATTTCAAAATTTCGATGAAAACTAGAAATTCGACCGGGGTGTTTGAACAGTGGAAAACAAAGAAAACCAAACAACAACAAAAAAACAACAACAACAATTCTAGCGATAATATTAGTGCTTCCAACAGATTTAAAAAGAATGAACAAAGAACAGTGAAGGTAACAACATAGTCTGGAAAATATTGGTTCCTAGTTTGGTATCATTTTTATGCAACTTGGAAAAATTGCTCTGGATTTTTATTGAGTGGATATATATATATATGTATATGTGGAATTCAAAGAAGATGTAAGGCACTTAAGCAATACACGAAAATGGAGGCATAGAAAAAGGCACTCTTGACGAAAGATGATGCAATGCATGCATGATAAAGAGATCACTTGGTTAAGGGATTCCACAGTTAGTAAATGCCATCATTTCTATTATAGTCATTGTTACCGTTGTTTTTGATTTAAATAACTACTTCAAAGTGGATTCTGAATAATAGAAGATAACTGAAAAAAATCTACGGAATAGAGTAAAATTTAAAACGATTCAATCATAAGTGAAGCTGATCTTGGACGTGAGGACAAATCTATAGCCATTTCACCTTTTTGTGTAGTCAAACTTCTTTGTGTCTCAGATACTCTTTTAGTTGGTTCCCATTGTGTGTCCTCAATTTTTATAGTATTTTCTAAAGTTTGGCTTGATATATTAGAATCTTGATTGTTATTATTATTAGTAGTAGCACATTGTTCGACAGTTGAACAGATGCCGTGAAACACCGCTTTCATGCAAATATCAATTTGTTCAGGGGTAAGTTCGGGAAAGTTACATCCTAAAGTAGACATTGAAGGCCATATTGAGGAATTACCCTGGGGATTGAGCGAATCCACTGAATTGTTAGCAGGGCTCAAAAATGGTAATATATTGCATGCAGACGGAAAATTAAAATCTTTAGGATCATTTTTTTCGAACTTATTAGGAAATCCAATAAAATGCGACTGTGGAACCAAGTTTTTAACATCCAATCCCGTTTGTAAATTATTAGCTGCGGGGACCGGTTGACTTATACCTGTGCAGACCTCCGGAACACGAAATGCACTCTGAAAGTTAACATTTTGTAGTTCTGAAGAGTTCAGTGATCCTAAAATTGCATTTGAATCTGAAAAGGGCAAGGCAGGATTTAAATCTGAATTTATTTTGCAGTTATCAATTGTTTGTGGAGTAAACGAATTCAAAGGGATATGACAGTTAGTTTCAGCTTCCGCCATTGGTGCTGTAGGACTAGCGAAAGGATTAGAAGTATTCTTTTGCATTCTGGACTCCGACAACGAGGACAGAATACATTTCGACTGGTGACGATTGACAGCACTAACACAAGTAAACTGTTTACCACATATACGACACTGCATTTCTGTAGTTTTTAAATGCATTTGAAGATGAATAATTTTCATGTGGTACCGCATGCTACTTTTAATCTCATATATTTTCCCACAAAACTTACAAACGTATAGCTTTCGACCGTTTATTTGACGTTCACATTCATCAATAAGTGTGTTCAGTTTGTCCGCACTAGTTAAGCGCCATCGCTTTGTATCAATATGAAATTTATTTGTCATTTGAGAACCGCTTAAATCAAAATTGTTCTGGTTTGTGACTTCTAAAGGTGCATGTCCATATTCATACTGTCTGTCATCCCCAGTTTTTTTTAATGCTACAGTTTGTCTTTTAAGATGAGCTTTGGAATTATTTTCTGAGTTTGTTGATTTCGTTTCATCATCACTTACTCTAGATGTTCCAGAGACTCCGCACTTATCAGTAGATGAATAGTTCTCATCAATATCAAGTACACTAGACCCATTTGTGGCAGGAGAAGAAAGACATTTGTTCAAAGAGTTGTTTGGAATGTGATTTTCATTTCCTGGAGTAAGTTTCCGAAAAAATTCCGTAGTGTTATCATTCTTACTGGAGGCAACATCGGAATAGCAGAAGTTTTGTTCTTCTCCGATGATTACTTTCAGTTGCGATTCTTGTTGGTCAGCTTCACAGTCTCCATTCTGTGGGATAAAATACAAAAGCTGCAGTTTAGAAAACGCAAATACATTTCACTTTAACTCATTTCACTAATGAGTATGGTGGAATAAAAACAAAACAGTTTGTTCATTGATAAAGGCCTACAATTACAAAATCAGTTCTCATAAAAATTACAAAACTGCAAAAGGGGTATTCAATGTATCCATAGACAACACAGTTGGATAGTTTCACTACATAATTTACAACTTTCAGCTCAAACATCTAGCTGCTGGAAACAGGAGCACTTATCTCTTGATTTTAAATTTTGTATGCAGTGAATTTTCTACAGTAAACTCACACATGCTACACAGACGATGACAGAACGGTACCAATTTAGATCGTAAATTGAACATTGTGATTGTCATCATTAACATGAACATCTTTTCACTTGCTTATATTATTAATAGTTGCAAATTGTGATTTTGTAGCCACTACAATTTTGTAAGTATTCTTCCTGAACAACTCAAATTTACGCTCCTCATTCCACTAAAAAGAAGGATATTCTTTAAAGACAAATTGATATTTACATATTTGAGTAAGCAGAGTATTTCTCTGAATTTCCTCATAGTGTGACTGACTGGTAGTAGTTTAAAATACTTATAATTCAACTAATCGCTGAAACGCACCTATATATATTTGACTCTGCGCTCAAAAACGACAAGCTGCGCTGGGTAATGCTCAGTGACACAATCTGTGGATTAAGAACTGATAAGTAGATACACGCAATTATATCCTCAATTTTGAATTGCAGCCCATTGAACTAGCCTCATACTACGATACAATGACAACTACGTATATGTGGATAACAGTTCTAGAAATATCCCCAATATGCTACGCTGATTTAAATGGCTGTAATCACTGAGTACTATAAACCATCAAGTAAAATTAACTGCAATGAGCTGAATATCACAGAGTAACAAATTTAAACTTGAAATACTGCTGCTGTACAACAGTAAGACAAGAAATACAATACGGTGTACAAGAAATTATAGTTGGGTATAAATGTTTTTTGACGTGAGTTTTAAAAATGTCCAGAAATTGAATTATACATTCATATCTTTAAATGAGTTCATTTATCTGAATAGATGAATGACTTTTCTATGGACGATTTTGTGAACTATCAGTGAGACAAAGAACTGCATGAGACTAGTAATCCCATCCTTCTTGATATTCTTAAAGCCGGTAGGTAGCAGAAATTACACTGAATGAATTAAATTCTTTTTAAACAAATAATTGATTGAATGTCACAAGGCAAAATGTGTGCCCTAATTTGAGAAGGAATTTACCGATAACAGTTAATTGGAAAGACTAGCTTAAAATTTGAAATCAATAAGAGCGTGTCTTTATTTGGGAAATAGGTCATTTTAATTGAGAGAGAGTCCTGTAGTGAACTTCTAAAGATGGATAGATAGCCACATTAGCACTTGGGAATTATGACAATTCTCGCCAACATAAAAATCTGTTCTTCAATATAATTAGTATTATACGGCATGCAATTCCAGGATAGTTCGTCACATCGGTATAGAAAGCAAGATATTATTATCTGTTGTATGAAATCTCAGAAAGTCAGGTCGAAATCCGAAAAAATCACTATTGGATTAAGATGTAAAATACTCAGGTGCTTAGAAATTTACACACCACACTGGAATTATTACTACAAGTTTCAGTAACTGGTGTCTGGACTAAGGAACTATGCATCAAAAAATAAGGATAAGGCGTAAAACATTTTCTAGCAAGTGTAACACTACATTAAAGAGATACACAAACTCACTTCACTTGTTGACTGTGTCTTCATGGAGCAGACGCCAATCGGCGAATCGTCGTTTGTCATGCAACGGGAATAATTAGGATACTTCCATGTGTTCTGTGAGCTTGTACGTTCATCAGAATCGCCCCTGGATGTGCATGCACTAAGCATTACATCACTAATTTTTTCCATCAAATGAAATGAAATTTGGAAGGCTGATAAGAGTTCGTTTGACGACAACCTGTTAGCAATAACTGACGCGCCTTTTATCTGTTAGTTGAATATATCTAAGAGCATAAGTACCTTACCATTTTTGAAAACTTCTCTAAATATTCAGTCGTTATTTCCCTGCCATCATGACTCTTACAATCACCCTCATCACTAGAGCACTTCATAACTCCAAAAACATACGGAATTCCCGGCCAACCTAGGTCACTGACAAAGCTTCCGACAGAGTAGACAAACAAAGCAATGGTTTCAGGGTGAAGATTAATGGAAGGGGTTTCTCTGAATTGATAGAGAGATCAATGAATTTTTCAAGCGTAATTTTACACATAAAAAGGTACATGATATTAGTCACAGAAAAAGTGGTTTTTATCCATATATCGATTAAATTTTAAAATTTACTGACACGTGACACAGATTGATATCATCAAAGTCCTTCAGTTTATGCAACTAGGATTAGTGATTTAATGTTACGTGATACACGCCTGACTGTTGGATTTATTACTATAGTGGACGTTAAAATGGATTTAGGCGAATCCAGTTAAAGGAATTATAACTGAAAGAAGGATGGTTGAGGAAATGCATAAGAGCTGTTCAACAGCGTCTGAATGCAAAGCTCCTTTAAAAACCTCCAGAAGCCGGATACTATTTGGGAATTGCAGATTAAGTGATTTTCTGACAAATTCTCATTCTACTACCTCTGGGAAGCCCACTTGCTTTCGAAAGTTGAAGGAAGGCTTTATATGTACTTCTGAATTAGACGTCAATATGTCATCTAAAATATCAGTACCTGTCAAAAAAACATATGTGGAAGAACCCTCTAGTTCTAATGGGGATTATGAAAAATACAGTAAAATAATATTCATTTCTGATAGTGACTGTCCTCACTGTGCTAAACAAGGATGCAATATGGTAGCAAGGCATTGCAAGTTGCATGTGACTGCTGATGATGGTAAAGCAAGATATATGGCCAGATCATTTTATTCTGCTCCGAAAACATCCTGTGAATTTCAGCTGACGTTTGCTGTTTTCCTTTCTCATCAGGAAGGATGTTTAGAGGATGATTTTTTTCTCACTTCATTACTTCTGTTTGATCGACCACCTAGACTCCTTGCGGGTTCACGCTTACGTATTTGCATGAACGACTTTCTGCGAGGAGAGGAAGGAGTACGTGGATGGGTTCTGATAATAGAGGGAAGAACAGCCGGAATTCTGGCCTCAGCCATAGATGCTGTGAACGATGTTTGTCCACACTTACGTGTTTGGGAAAGGGGCATGTTAATTGGTTACAAATAGCCGCGCCAATTCCTTTATCTATCCTCATTGTATAAATACCTTTAATTTGACGGTTATATTGTATTATCAGAAATCCCCTTATAACGACAATTTGAGTGGCATCCGGTTTCAAATTCAATTACTTTTTACAGATATTATTCTTTTTGTTTCATTTGACTGCAATTATTATTTACGAAATAAAATTCTCAACGTCGATATTCCTCCGAGATATTCAAATTAGTGTCGGAAGTCAGAGTAAGTTTCGTTGTTCTAAGTGTATTAAACGAGAATTAAGTTATGTAGCGAAATTAATTTATCAAGTTACAACTTTAACATCTATCTATTTTAAGTGTTTTCAACGGATATGTCTCATTCATTTGTGCAAATGATGATTTTTGTGGAATAAAAGTTCGACTTCATTTTTTCGCATCATGAAGAGTAGAGGATATGTTCATAGATTATAGAAACAGATGATTCAGGTATGTACACCCGTGTATAGGCCATCATTTATGCATATTTTATGCAAAAGATTCTGACTTCAGTTCTCCATAAGCACTCGTCTTATTTTCTAGCTTCACACATGGATAAACGTATTTTTTATTGATGTTGACTTGATTGATTTTCCGCTGTTTAGCAGACGTGTCTACAGATACAGAATGAAATACAAGCAATATCTATTTGTGTTCTGTTTAAAGGCATAAAAATTCTAATTCCTTGATAAAGATACTTCTTTTATGCCTAAGTTACCACATGTAATTGTGTGGATCCAATATCCAATATCCAATATCTTTTTACGAGCTAGTATAAACCAATTTGATTTCTTTGCGCTCGCCTCTTGATTGTAAGGTAGAGGTTCCTGATCTTTGGTAAACGTCTGTGTAGCTCGTCCCGCCACTCGACTGTCGTAGCTTTGGTTGACTCCAACAGGAGTAGTGCTGGGATTAATTATATGGCGTCTGTAGTATGAAGTGTGTTAAGACTGTTACTACTGTGAATGGAGTTGATCCTTTCACCAGTTAGTCTTTCGGTATCGTCGTCAATGGAAAAGAGATAATAATAATAATAATAATAGATATAATTAGTAAAGGTATTCAGACTAACAGACAGAGAAAAAAAAATAAGAAAACGTAACAACAGTCAGTCAACCGGTATACATATGTATATATATATATATATAATATATACCAGTAATAATGATAATAATAATAATAACAATAATAATAATAAGTGTAGTTAAAGCTGTCAGGAGAGTAAGACTGAAGGGAATGTGAAGAAGTAAAACGACCAGTTTAATTGTCTATCTTTGAATGGTATATGCGATTTTAAGGGGATAGGCCATTTGGATACAGTCCTTGTGTCACTGCAAGGTTGTCCAGCCTTCGCTTAAAGGCGTCCACAGATGGTGCCATAGCTACATCTGCCGGTAAGGAATTCCAGGGACGGCAAACCCGCAGGGAAAAGAAGTGGGAGCGCACCCGGGTCCTTGCCCTCTGATGAGCTATCCTTCTGGGATTTCCACGAGGGAGCCTATACCTACTCAATGGCAGAACACCTTTGTTCGGGTGATTCTGATCATTTGTTATTTTGTAGGCAGTAATTAAATCCCCCCTCAGGCGACGGTAACTGAGTGTGAATAGGCCTAATTTCTTCAGCCTTTCGTCATATGGTTTATTTCGGAGTCCAACCACTCCTTTTGTTGCCCGTCGTTGGGCTCTTTCCAAGAGGTTGGCGTCTCTTTTAAGCAGTGGGGGTGCAATGATATTATGCACTTCAAGATGCGGTCTGACGTATGTTTTATACAACCTTAGAAAGAGCTCAGGAGTGAGTGCACCTAATTGTCTATGTGTAAAGTGTATGACCGCATATGCCCTCGCTACATCCCCCGTGTAATTCACGCTTGTGTCCATTTTCTCCGTTAGAACTAGACCTAAGTCACGTTCCGACGTTGAGCAGGACAAGCTTTCATTGCACAGGGTGTAACTTGCATTCTGCAGTCTACAGGTGCGTAACTTCACTACTTTGCACTTTTTCAGGTTGAAAGTCATTCCACTGGTTACCGCCCAGTCTTCCAGAAGCCTTAGATCTGCCTGCAGCCTATCTGAGTCCTCCGGACACTTTACCGCCCTCCATATCTTTACGTCATCAGCGTATAGAAGAGTCGGGCAGTTTAGACGGCATGGTAAATCATTGATAAAAATCAAGAACATCAGTGGTCCCAGGATAGAACCCTGCGACACTCCTGATGACGAGCTGTGCCAAGATGATCGGACTCGGTTGACCTTGGTGCAAAATTGCCTTTCAGTTAGGTAGTCCTTCAACCATGACAGAAGTGGTTTACCTAGACCTACCTGGCTTATTTTGTGTAGGAGAAGGTCATGGTGAACAGTGTCAAATGCCTTCTCAAAGTCTAGAAAGATCACATGGACAGGAACATTCATATCCCAGCATGATGTCCAATCGTCCCAAGCTGATAATAAGTTAGTGACGCAGGATCTTCCTTTCCTGAAACCGTGTTGGGCTTCATGGAGTATTTTAGACCTATCCAGATATTCCCTGATGTGATCATCAATAATACTTTCCAGTACTTTCGATACCACTGGGAGTAGAGCTACTGGTCTATAACTGGTGGGATTTTGCCTATCCCCACCCTTGAAGATCGGAGAAAGGATGCTTCTTTTCCATTCCTTTGGCAGTTTCCCCGATTCCATGGAGTGTTGGAACAAGTCGCATAAAGGCCTACAGAGAGCTTCGGCGCACTGTTTCAGAACAGATGGCCTGATGTCGTCACAACCTGGGGACTTCCCAGGTATGAGCCGCTGCAGCTTTCTCAGTACTATTGCAGGGTTTATTTGAGGGGTGGCTATTTGGTCTTCCTCCTGTGAAATAGTCATGCCACCATTTTGGTTCGTAACGGTAATACCCACATTGCTGTTTAGCTGTTTGGCGAAGGCTAAACTGAATGTTTCAGCCATCTCCAGACTAGTGAGATATTGACCGTTTTGGCCTACTAAGGCGCAAGCCCCTTGGTTGGTTGGTTTCCTTTCCGACATGAATCGGTACAAATTCTTCGGGTTTGCCAGGAGTTTTTTAGCAAGGTTAGCCTGGAATGACCTTCTGTCCCTCCTGACTCTTGCATTGCACCGGTTCCTGAGTTCCAGGTATGCATCATGGTCGATCTGGCTTCCAGATACGCGCCACGTAAACCAAGCCTTCCTCTTTGCTTGCAGAATACGCTGCGTGCCTCTCTTTAACCATGATGATTTTCTTTTGGGCTGTGCTGTGACTAAAGGGACGGTATCCGAGATCGCTGTATGAATAATCTTTTTTACCGCTTCCCAGTGTTCATCCACAGACAGCTCATCCCATGCTAAGGGCCAGTCTGCATCGAACAAGAGCCTCCGCATTTCAGCGTAGTCAGCCTTGCTGTAACACAGACATGGTTGCGTAGCGTCCCACTGCAAGTGCTCACGGAGAACGAGGTCGAAACCTATGACTGCATGGTCACTACTTCCTAGAGGAGTCATGACCTGGACCTTTTCGACGAGTAGTTGGTCACTAGTTAGAATGTAGTCTAGTTTTGATGACTTTCCACTAGGGCCCCACCTAGTGTCGTCTCCAACATTCTCAGTCAGTCCCGTGTTCCGAATAGCTTGCAGTAGATTTCGGCCGAATTTTCCCTTAGCATACCCCGA